GAACCCACCACCTTAGGTGTACGTGGCTGGCGCCTTAGCCGGTTGAGCTATAGGCGCCCAGCCTAGACTATTCTTAAATATGAATTTTGAAGGGAAGCTTTAATTCTCAAGCAGTTTTTCAGCCAGGTACAGCGGCTCATGCCTATAAACCCAGCACTCTGGGAGGCCGAGGCAAGAGGATTGCCTGAGCTTGGGAGTTCAAGACTAGCCTGAGCAAGAGTGGGACCTTATCTCTAATAAAAATAGAAAAACTTGGCTCAGTGGCTGTATCTCAGCAACTAGGGTACCAGCCATATACACCAGGGCTGGCAGGTTCGAACCCAGGCCAGAGACTGCCAAACGACAATGACAACTATAACAAAAAAATAGCCAGGCATTGTGGTGGGTGCCTGTAGTCCCAGCTACTTGGGAGGCTGAGGCAAGAGAATTTTTTAAGCCCAGGAGTTTGAGGTTACTGTGAGCTGTGATACCACAGCACTCTACCCAGAGCAACAAAATGAGACTCTGTCTCAAAAAAAAAAAAAAAAGACAGTATCAGCCAAATTTTAGACCCATGCTATTTGTTAGAACTCCATGACCAGCCTCAAAATGTACTGATGAGAATTCAGAAGTGGATTCTGGGAGCTACACTTTTACCAGGACTCAAGAGTTTGGCTGGGCTGTTCTATTGTTTATAATCACTGAGGTCAATGATTAACAAAATAAAAGATAATACATAAGAGATTCCAAAGATTTATTTAAACCAATAACATTGAACGGAAATCCCCTGCACTGGTGGCTCTGAGATGGGATATAAATAGGAGACAACGCACAGAAGCCTTAGCTGTGTTCTGATGGCACCTGCTGTCAGAAAAGCAGGCTCAGGTCTGACTCTGCTTGTCTGGGCCTCAGTTTTCTCAGCTACAGGATGGGCTAGTAGCTGCTCCCCCGCTCCCCAGAGAAGTGAGAAGAGGGAAGAAGTGAGACCACGTGTATGAACAGGAACTGGAAATAGGAACAGATGTCAAACCTCAAACCAAAATGAAGTTCGCCCTCCTGGACAGTTAGTTCCCTTCTTCATATGTACAAGTCATGGTTCTGAAACCAAAATTGTGCAAAAATGGAAAAAAGGCAATAATAAAGCCAGCTCCTCGGCACAGTGTGGGACTGAGTCCCTCTGTAAGTTCTGAGCCCCTATCTTGCCCAGGGGGCTAGAACAGTCCCCAGGCAGGCGCAGTGCTCTCCCCAGCCGCCTCTCCCTGTCCATCATCTACTCCTTGGTATCCCCAGTTCCTTCCCAACACCCGAGCCGGGCCCTGCTGACCCACAGGAGGGTTGCTCCTCACCTGTCAATTTAGTTTCTACATTAAGGAGACACCCCCCCCCCAAAAAATCCACACACCTAATTGAAATGCTTTTAAGGGGGGCTCCTAGCAGATAAGGAACTGAAGTGTGTGAGACACGTTACACAGCGTCCCAGCAGAGCACACTGGAGCCTCCCGAGCCCGGCATCTGTTCTCCCATTACAGCACTCGAGCCGGGCCTAGTGCTGGAGTGTGGTGACAGGGCACACATCCTTCGTACCTCTCTCAAAGTACATGCATAGGGTACCTTTGTGAGCCAGGCAGTCTGCAAGGCATGGAAGTAAAAGATTAAGACAATTTCCTATCTTCAAAAGCTACACAAAGACACTCCCTTGGGAATACTAAAGCACTCGTCACTTCCTTTTTTGTGTCACACAGTGAGGTCTGTACGTACATGCTGGTCTCCACACCTGACGGCGAGCTCCGGGGTCTACCCACGTCCATGCCCGGCACAGGCCCTCACACCCAGCAGTGCTCAGTACATGCTTGTCCGAAGAGGAACCAACAATCTGGACGGCAGGAGGGTGTACACCCAATGACCCTGCTGGCACAGGAGCCTTGTGACAAGGGCCACAGTGACGGTTTCATCACGTGCCACAGACAGCACAAGAGGGTGCAGGGCAGCTCCCGTTGGAGG